GCGGCCTTGGAGAGCGTGGAGAGGCTCCTGCTTAGGCCCGGAGGGTGCCACTCACCACACGTCCCGTTGGCGGGTGTGCACTCCAGGCCAGTGTGCAGAGTCTCTGTGAGAGCTGCTGGCACCGAGCCCAGGCAGGGCTGCTGCCTTCAGGCACGGCGCGGCCCTGAGTGGTCCAGCATGTCAGCAGCAGCAGCATGGCTCTGCTCCCCAGCATCTTGGTGCTTCTCAATCTGGCAGCCTTGCACCAGTCCTTGTGGAATCTCTGCCCACTTCCCCCTGTTCAGAGCCCGATTCTCTCTCTTCTGTGCGTCTCTGGTTTGGCTTCCTCTGTTCACTGAGGTTCTCCGCTGCTTCCTTTATTTTTCTCTCCTTGTCTGAGTCCCTTTTTAAGGTCCCTGCATTGTAACACCGCCCTTTATACTAGCAGGTGACTCACAGCAGGTGGGATTCCCCTCCCTGCATCATCCCCGCTGTGGGGAGCCCAGGTAAGCAGCCTCAGCAACAGGGGAAATGACTCGTGCGGTTGCTGTGGCTGGAGGCCTGGGATAGGACATATGTGTAATGCTCTCCAGGAATTGAAATGGCTCCAGAAGGGGTGGGGTGGAGTAATGAATATTTAAATGAGTCTAGTCTCAAATTCCTTCCTGTTTAACCTTTTCCTCATCTTTCTGCCTCTCAAAACTACCCCCCCCCCCCCCCCCCCACCTAATGTCCTTACCTCCCCTTGCCTAAGGAAAAATCAAAACATAAGCATTCATTTATTTCCCAATAAAATGGCAATGAAGTTTAGTTCCCACCAGATACCCTCTGAAGATAAGAGGGCTTCTTTTTCTTCATTGGTAACAGTGTCGTTCTCACTGGGAGAGAATAGACATGAAGGCACTTTGGGAACTGGGCAGCCACATACTGCTATATAAAGTGTTACGGCTCCCCCACTTCCGGCCTCACTGTGGAGGGTAGGAGGACTGTTGGAGGGAGGGAATTGTTGCCAAGAACCATCTGATTCTTCAACCTTAGTGGCCCAAAGGGTCATGGGCCCTGTGGGATGCAAGTGATGGTTCTTTTGAGACACCAGTGTAAGCAAGGGCAAGAAGTCCAGCTTAGATATTCCAGCCCTTTCACCATGGCTAAGAGGTCTAAGAGTTCTGGATAGCTGAAGGTGCATAGTTCAGTGACCCCGGCCAGTCCTTCAGCCTGTTGCATCCATGGGTAAAATCCACTGACACCGATTTCATCACCCTCCCTGATGCAACATCAGTGAAACAGCTAAGAGTGTGAGGTTAGGCGTGGGAGCGGAGGGTGGTTCAAATGTGGGGCTGCCCCCACCCTAAGTGGAGGGTCCCAGGACAATTTGGATGTCAGAATGAGGCCATGGGTGACCACACTGATGGCTCCCAAAGCCTCCCCCAGAGGTTGACCCTTTTTCTCTGAGAAACTTACCCTGGACAGAGGTCTCCCTTAGAATTAGTCAAAACTGCCCAGTGAAACTTCTGGTTCAAATATGACTCTCTGGTAAATCCATCCTTTGGATAAAACATGTTCAGCATCAGGGATGTTACCTCAGTTGGAGTGAGAAATGGTTTGCCGCTCCCCACATACAGTGGACACTCACAGAATCAGGAAGTTGGTGATGGCAGTGAAACTCACCTCACTTTAAAATAAGTTGTCCTATGATGTTTCCACCTCTGATTCCCATTCTGAGAGCCCTACAAGATAGGAGATGAAAGGTGAAAAGGAGGAGGAGGAAGTGGAACTCTGGGGGAGGAGATGAGAAGGGCAAGGGATGAGCTGGAGGCATGTAGGAAGCAAGATTGGTGGGGCAATTGTGGGACGGTTGTGTGGCAGGAACTACTTCCGGGACTAGATCTGACCTGGAGCTTCAGGGAGTCCTTGACGTCAGCAGGGCTTTAACTGTTATGCAAATCACATTCACAAGACACGCCTAAGTAGGCCTTTCCAGTTGGATGACCAAGCTCCAAATCCAACTGAAGTTCCCCCGGGGAGTTAATGATGATAGCTAATACACAGGGTGGGGCAAAAGTAGGTTTACAGTGGTTCATATGGGAAACTGACACAATAATTAATAAATAATTCAAGATTAAACTGTTTTTGTGTACTTAAAACTGTACACCTACTTTTGCCCCACCCTGTATATCACCTCTCACTTTATGCCGAGTGCAGTGGAACCTCAGTTCTCAAATTCATTCTGGAAGGCTGTTCAAGAAGCAATTTGTTAAAAATCCAAATCAGTTTTCCCTTTAGAGATCATGTAAATTGAATTAATCCGTTCCAGACCCCTAAAAACAAAAAAGAAAGAAAATATTCACAGCACAATTTCCTGAGATGTTAGCTCGAGGTTTAGCAGTAAACTGACTCAGACCTGAGCATTCTCTCCTGAGACGTGTGACTGATCATACAAGTATCAGCATGAAGGGATTGGGGGGAGGGGGGGAGAACCGAAGTTTTGTTCAACAACCAAGATATTTTTTCTATGAACAACTTGGTTGAGAACCAATTTGTTCAAGATAGGAGACGTTGGAGAACAAACTTTCTCTAACACCCCCAATCTTGATTTTCTTGAACAACTTTTATTTTTCTTTTATTAATTTCAGAGAGGGAGAGGGAGAGAGAAATAAAAACATCAATGATGAGAGAGAATCATTGATCAGCTACCTCCTGCACGGCCCCTACTGGGGATTGAGCCCACAATCTGGGCATGTGCCCTTGATCAGAATCGAACCCGGGACCTTCCAGTCCACAGTCCCATGCTCTATCCACTGAGCCAAACTTGCTAGGGCTGAACAACTTTCTTGAACATCTCCCATCTCAAACAATTGGGTTCTCGGCCTGACAACCCTTTCATGCTGATACCTGTATGACAGGTCACGTGTCTCTGCATTAAGATATTTTTCCCTGAGTCTAGGACCATGCTGAGTCCTGGAAGTCTAAATTATGGGGTCTCTGTACCAGCCTTTATCAAAGGAGAAAAGTGGTGTTTTGGGGATTTTTATAAAGATTTTATTTATTATTTATTTATTTTTGTTAATCCTCACCTGAGGATATTTTTCCATTGATTTTTTTTCAACTTCCAGCATCATTTATTTTTCCTAGAATTTGTATACAATTAACTGCAGCAAGACAGTGCTCAATACTATTTAAGCCTCACATCAGGTTCTTAAACTACCTCAGCATTTGTAAATGTGAATCACATTCCAGTAAAACTGGGAAACTAACATCTGACATACCAACAAATTTACTCAATATCAATGTAACTACAAAATTTTATATGTAACACCTGGACTTTACAGCCTTTGGCCTTTCCAAACTAGCTTACAACACAAAGTTACTCTTTGCTTACCTGGCCTAACCTATGTAGTGTTACACCAACAGATCCCCCCCTTTCCCACAGCTTTTACCATGAAGAGACAGGTGATTCCTCCCTTTAAGACAAAGTGGGGGGAAAAAACCACCAAAGTTCCCACCCAGAAAAAACGTTAAGAGAACTATCCAATTGTAATGTATCAGCAGATATAACACTGGAAATAGGTCATGGGCAACTCTGAAGTCTTTTACCAAAGAAGCATAACCAAAAGAACACACAGGTTTCTCATTAAACTTTGTTATTTTAATGGGTCTCAAAATTCTGTGACAGATTTTTGGTCATGTTGTTCCCATTAAAAAGTACTGATTTTAAAATATATTTTATTGATTTTTTACAGAGAGGAAGGGAGAGAGATAGAGAGTTAGAAACATCGATGAGAGAGAAACATCGATCAGCTGCCTCCTGCACACCCCCCACTGGGGATGTGCCCGCAACCCAGGGACATGCCCTTAACCGGAATCGAACCCGGGACCCTTCAGTCCGCAGGCCGACGCTCTATCCACTGAGCCAAACCGGTTTTGAGTACTGATTTTAAAAACGAATAACGTAGAAACTGCCACACGCACAAAAGAACCAAATGGCCCACCGAACATCCCCCTTTCCTTGTGAAGCTTTTAGATGCATTGTAATCACTCACCAGCCTTTTACTATTAAACCGAAATGGCCGACTGAGACACAGTTCTGAGAGTTCTTCCACCACCGAGTAAGACGGGTGGCAGGTGTTGGGGGTGATATTCATTTACCTTCTGAGCTTCTGGGCCGACCTGGTGACTTTGCCAGCTCCAGCTGCCTTCTCAGCCACGGCTTCGACACCCGCAACAACTGTCTGTCTCATGTCACGAACAGCGAAACGGCCCAGAGGAGGGTCATCAGAGCAGCTCTCAACACACCCGGGCTTGCCAGGAATCATATCAACGATGGCGGCATCACCAGATTTCAAAAACTTGGGGCCATCTTCCAGCTTTTTCCCAGAACGACGACCAATCTTCTCCTTCGGCTCAGCAAATC